GCCAACGCCCCTTCCTCCGCGGCCGTGGCCGTGGCCGTGGCCGTGGCCGGCTGCCGAGCCGGCGGCTGCAATGCTCGCACTTACCAGGAGATGGCGGCTGCAGCTTGGGCTGCTTCTTGGTCTCCCCGGTGCTGAAGACTTCGGGCGGCGGCTCCTCCCCGCGCTCGATCTTACACTCGAAGGCAAACAGGTACTGGATATACTGCTTTTTCAGGGAGCTCGCTGCGCTGCTTGACGTGCCAACATTTAGGTTGGTTGCCAGCTCACGCCACTTCTTGTTTTTATTAACCTAGCAAAAAAAAAAAAAAGGGGCAGGATTATTGGCTTGCAGCAAAGTGGCTTGTTTAAAGCCAGGAGACGGAAAACAAAGCACTTAATGTCTTGGTTTACTTTTTTTTCATTTCCCCCTTTTAACTAATGCTCATTACTCCCACTCAGTAGTGCAAAGACAGCATTTACTGTTATAAAACCATTAAGGAACCTGCTGATAGCGACATAAAAAGCATTGCTGTCCAGATTCTCCTGCCTGGTGCATCTTCTAATGCCTCGCACTCTGCCAGGGGCACACGGCACAGCCAGCAATGAATCTGCACACTCTTGCTCACAGTCAGCCTGTCCCACCTCTAAACTAATTTAAAAAGTTGTAACAGAACTATTTTGCAAGTTAAGTGGTTCAGCCTTGGTAAGAAAAACAGTGTTTCCTTCCAACAGCCACAAGTTCCCAAAAAGATGAGGCTATAAACCTGGCCATGTCCACCCTCTCACAGGAGACTTTCTGGTGGTGCTAGGCAAAGGTGACACTGGGTGCAAAGGCGAACAAGGCCCCTGACCAAATGACCCCAGCTTATATGCCCCACACAAGCCGTGGGACTTGGATGGGCTCTGTAATCTACCAGCTGGCCTACAGGCAGGCACCTGGGGCCTGTGAGGGGCAGGAACACATGGGACTCTCAGGGCTCCCACTTAAACTCAGGCAGGAGAGAACAGAGTTGCAAAAACAGGAGAGAAAAAAGAATCCTGCAATGTTGTTACCTAAGGATCTGAGGCATTATTTCAACCTTCGATTCCCGTGGGGGAAGAGCTATGGGAGGCTGGACACAAGAATGAAACATGAAGACCTGCAAATACTAGGGATGACGTTGCCTTCACGTGCGTCCTGGGTTCACAGCCTGGGTAAGGGTTAAGGACACAAGTGGTTTTTAATGAAATGTTAAATTTTTGGATTTAAACGTTCTCACAAAGCTCTTTATATCCATTTACTTAGTATTAAATGGTGCATGATAAACCGCACTCGCTCATGGAAGTGCTTAATGCCTCTCTTGGCGCTAATGCCAGCCTGCAACAAGCAGGCCCGTGGATTGCCGCAGAAATGAAGCAGAGGGCTACCTGGGACGCCCTGGAAAGCAAGGTGCTCAGCTGAGCCATGTGGCTGTAGCAATGCTCCAAGCACATCTGGAGAGATCAAGGTGGGGTGTGAGTGACCAATGCCAAGCGCTCACCACTGGGTAACCGCTACATTCAAGCAGCCCTCTTAGCTAAGCCAGTAGAGTCTCGCTGGCAGACCCACCTTGGTAACGCACACAGCTGACAGTCAGAGGAAGGTGTCCAGACAAACTATACTTCCATGATGGTGGCACCAATTGTTTAGGACCCTAGGGACTCTAAAAAATCCATGTGAGGGGCTGAGGTGCAGAGGGGGAAGGGCAGGGATCTAGATGTAAAGGGGAAAGGTGAGGGGTCAAGGTGCAAAGGGGAAAGGTAAAGGGTCAAGGTGCTGAGGGGAGAGGTCGGGGGTCTAAGTGCAGAGGAGAGAGATCAGGGATCTAGGTGCAGAGGGGAGAGGTCGGGGGTCAAAGTGCACAGGAGACGTGTGTGTGTGTGTATCTCGCTTCTCCGCTGGCCAACTTGGTGTGCTGTGTATGATTTACCATATGACCATGCAGAGCCTTGAACCAAGCTCTGTTTCACTTGCAGGTCTCAGGTCCCCGGTGGGCTAAAGGCCTCTCCTCTACTCTCAGAGTTGCGTAGCACCGGGCGAGGTGAGACCTGTGGGTTAGATGACTGCCCTTGGATAGCTCATGACCTGCGTCACCTGGTGGGAATGCAGGGTGCCTTACTGTGTATTCGACAACTTGGGGCCCACAGCGGCTGCCTTCATTGATCTGGGTGGGAGCCCAGGTATCGAAAGGTTTGAAAAGCTCCCCAGGTAACTCAAGTGCATAGCTAGGCCTGCGGACCACTGGCGGCGGGGGGAGGAGGCGCTCTGGAATCAGACCTGGCCCAACACCCACCCTAAGAGTCCCAGGGCCACAACACATTGCATTTCACTCTGTTAGTTTCCTCATCTCTTCTCCGGGGCGGATGGCCCTGCGTTTACAGGGATTTTGAAAGGCAACGGCAATAGCCCATAGGAGGCCCAGCGCACAGCATGCAGGGAGCACCTGAGGGTCAGTACCCTTCCCATCCTCACTGCAGGGCTCGTACACGCCGACCAGACTCCATGCTAAAGGCAGGGCTAGGGCTGGGTGAGGAAAGTATGGCCCCGAGGGTACAGCCTTTAAGGGGTGCTGTGCTGAGTCAGGCCGGCTCAGGGCAGGCACCACCTGCCCCTCTAGTCCCAGCCCTGTGAACAGTGACAGTGTGACCTTTGTGGCCCAGGTGTTGGGAACATGGTTTTATGACTTAGTTTTCCTTGGTAAATCTGCTTTATACCTGATCCAGACGATTAATTCGGTCATTTGCAGAACATTTCTGGAGTATTTACTATGAAATCCTGGCAGATTCCACAGAACTCTACAGCTGTCAGGGAGCCTAAAGAAAAATCTGGCCCAAATCTCTCATTTCACAGATGAGGACTGAGGTTCATATAAATGGCCTGCTGGGGTCACACTGGGAGCTGGATGCAAAGCCAGGGTCCCCAGTCCCAACGCACTCCCCTGCACGGATCCCCAAAAAGGGACTTTCTCATTGGCCTAGCTTTTCTTTGTAAGCAAACAATCTGAGTCTAATAGTCAAAGAAGTTGTTCAAGAGCTTGTCCAGAGAATGTCTCCCTATTTGCTCGCCCATTCATTCTTACCTGGGCCAAACCGCCGATCTCTTTGACGCAGACATAGAGCCGGAACAGGTCCAGGGGCTTCTTGCCCACGGCAGGCAGACTGGAGACAGGGGAGCCTCTCTCCTCCATGAAGGTCAGGTAGCGGTCGACCCAGACCTTCCTCTCGGGCTCGTTGCCCAGCTCATACACCTTTGTGATCTTCTCCCCAGTGGTGGTGGAGGAGCTGGACTTCTAGAGCCCAGGAGGGGCATTTGGAGGTGGGGCAGGGTGGGCGGAGGGAGAGGGAAGAAGGCGAGAAAAAAGTAATGAGCTACCAAATACAAAAAGAGGAGACATTTTAAAAACTACTGCTATCACACAGCAAATAGGAATGAAGGCTACTAGTTCAGGCAAAACTAGATACATTTCTTAATTAAAAATTTACTTTGACTTTAAACAAAGGCCCAAACTCCCCCTTTTATATACTTAAAAAACAAAACCTCTTTTACTTTATTATATAAGCATTGAATCCCAGAAGGCAAGATTCCAATGACAACTCACGTCATTTTTAAAAATAAGAGGGTCTTAACTCACAGAATAATCGCAGTGGAATTTAAAATTTCACATGTATTACAGAGCCCAAAAAAACTATATGGACTCTTCTTTGTGAAAATAAGAACGGCTAATGTGTGTCTTCCCTGAAACTCCAAGTCACATGGAGGAAGAGCAGACACATGGAACTTGCAGAAATAAAGGTGGGTCACAAATCACAGGGACCAGCGGCGTGGGGCCCATGCCCGCCTGCGCTTTACAGACTCAGGGCCAGAGCTCAGGCGCTGACTCATGACAACCCGCTTCCCCTACGTAACGTCTAGAACTCTGCCGTGGCGAAGGGCGATAACTACTTAAGTAGATTTCTTAGGTAACCGTGCTTTAATCACGGACAGCGTATCTGGAGACACGTGTGTATATGTAGTTACTTTTGTACACCCGTGCTCCTATGCCCACGTGGTTTAGGCTGATGCCCTAACTCTTGATCAGCTTTCTAACTATACTTGTCAAAAGCTGCTGCTCGCACCCCTGGAGCCACCATCTGAAGTATGTGATCTAGGAAGGGAACACTTTCAGTCCTGAACAGCCTGTTTATCTTCCCCTTCTTCTATGTCTCTATATTTGTAATAATATTTGTGTACTTGTAATATTTGCAACTCTGGGGTTACTGCATAAAATCACGTCTAACTTCCCTATAAAGATTTCCTTGGAACAGTAATTTACTTCATTTACTTACGTTTGTTTACTAGGTTATCATTTGCAACACGAAGCCATTATTTACATGGAGTTTTTCTGAACTCTTCTGCATTAAACTTAGCTTAACATAATGCTAAACATACTGCTGGAATTTGGGGGGTTGAATAACATGACTGCCACTGAGGTTTGATGGACCTTGTTTAGCAAGATGAGCCCCAATAAAAGTAGGGCCTGAGCGAGGATGTCGGAGAAGAAAGCCAACAGAGCTGCCGAGTGGCAGCTTTTCCTCTAATTAACATGAAATTCTCCCAAGCTGTTTTCGCTGAAATTTTAAGCCTTCAGCTTTAGAATTATTGAGGCATAAAATCTTTACATCAAATATACAGAAGTGGGTGATACAGTTGATGTAAATAAAAAGTGTACAGTGGCAGGATAAAAAATATGATCTTGCAGAATTTACACTGATGCTGAAGCTAAACTGAAAGCCACTTAAAATTACTCTAGATAAGAGCTTAAACCATATGCACACATTCCCAGTCTGTCTGGATGCCCTGTACATACCACAATATGGAACACACTGTGGAGGCAATGGTAGGCAAGCTTTTAAAATTTACTTTCCTATTCTTATAGCCAAGGAGTGTTTTGGGGAAAAAGCCCTATTCTAACATTTTATTCCACATCCTCATACTGATAACACCTCAGGAGCTCTGTCATCATTAGCGGAGTGGGTATTATCAGGATGTTTCTAAATCCTAGTGTTGAATTCTTTCTCTTTTCCGGAAGTGCTCTAAAAAAGTGGATCCAATGTTTTAAAATAAATCAAAATTTGAGATGACATGAGGAAAAAAATCATTCTCACCTAAAGTCAATTACAATAGAACCACCTCCCTCTTGCATTTCATGTGTAAAAAGCTAAAAATGTTTCAGATTCTATTTTCAAGGTGAGAGAAACAAAAACAATCCTTGTGATGTAAATTACTGAGTAGTTCTGCACACATCCCGAATAGAAGGCAGAACTGCCACTTCTGGCTGGGTCCTCCGTCCTGGGGAGGGCCCTGGAAGAAGTCACTTAGGACCCAGCTCGAGGCTCTGAGGTTTATTCCTACGTGGAAGGAATGGGCTGTCCTAACCTGAAACAGGCCTCAAGTCAGCTCAACTATATTTCTTTGTTAAATGAGTTTAAGTTTAATGTCTGCATATCTCAATTTGTTCTCTTAAAATTAGAAAAACTTAATGAAGACCACAGTTCTTAATAGAATCATTTTATTTTTCGTAGTTTTTAGAGCTTCAAAAAAGCATTTTCATGGTGCAGTAACGTAGGAAATGCATCTGAATGGAAAGAAAGGGCTTGGGCTGGTTTATGTGTCAGGTCCTAGGACATGCCCCCTGGTGCCTGCCCCTCACCACAGGCTTTACCTGGCCTTGGCAGCCTGGGCTACAGTGTGTAAATATAAAAAGCCTCCTCTCTGCACTCCACTCTCCTGACTGGAAGAACCTGAAGTTCTACAAAGGCAGGGTTCCTGCTGACCGGGAGTCACCAATAGCGACTGCACACGAAGGTACTCGGCAGGTATTTGCTCTATGAATGAATAATCACATGAACAAAAAGGTCTGAAAAGTTGGGCACCATGCAAATAATGGACAGCTGGTTAAAACAGCCTATAAAAAGGATTCTGTGAGCAAGGTGCTACGCAAATGTGGGCGCTACCCAGTAGGACTGGAAGCTGAGCGGGGACCGTGCCCACAGCCCACTCTCCACATCTCAACTCGCAGCCTCCTAGCCCATGACCAAAGCTGGAATTTGGGCATCTGGACAGAGAAAAAGGACATGAAGAGAAACAAAAGCCTTAGGCCCGGCAGGTATGGCTCAGCGGTTGAGCGTTGGCCTAGGATCCAGGCGATCAGGGTTCGATTCCCGGTCGGGGCACATGCCCGGGTTGCGGGCTCCATCCCCAGTCGGGGGCCTGCAGGAGGCAGCCCATCAATGACTCTCTCATCACTGATGTTTCCCTCCCTCTCCCTCTCCCTTCCTCTCTCTGAAATCAATAAAGATGTATTACCAAAAAAAAGAAAAAAAAAGCTTAGGAGTAAAGAGTGTATACTTCATCACTGATCAGGCTCCACAGAGACCTCTTTTGTTCAGACATCAGCTATGACGTCTTTGGGACAACGTCCTTACACAGCCCACCTACCGACAATGGGTACATTAACAATTTCCGCAGAAAGAGGGGCTCACTTCTCCATCTCACAGTTTCGGTGCTGGAAAAGCTGTAGCCTCCTGCGTGAACTGCCGTGGAGGCAAGAAAAAGGACCGGGGACGGCTGAAAAACCACAGCAGGACACTGCTATGGTGCCACAAGTGTTTTCCTTGCATGTAACTTAATTAAGTCTCTAAGTACATTTTTCCTCAAGTCTTTTGGGCAGATTTACATTTCACAGTCTTTACCATATGCCTGGTAATATGTGGATGTGCAAATGTTTATTTTTATTGTAGAATGTTTTGTAACAACACAGTGTTGGTCCACAGCACACTGTGAAAGCACAGGCATCTTTACTGTTTAGTCTGTGTCCGGCCTGCATCAGTCAGGCTTCATTAGACTCTGGTGAGAGCGACTAAGTACAAACTGAAGTCCATCTGGGGCAGAGCAGGTAAAATTCCTGCACTGGACACACTGGCAGTGCTTCGACCGCGGAGGTCGTCCGAGGCCCTTCCTTCCAAGCTCCTTTGCCCCCCTTGAATCAGCACCTCATTCAGACAGCGGCTGTGTTCTCGCCGAGAGCGACCATCTAACATCTCCACTCCCTCCAGCGGCAGCCTCTCCTGTCCTTACCCACCCTGAGAGCCAGAAGTTCGCTTGGAAATTCTTAAAACAGATATGGTACAGGAAGAGATAATGTATGTAGAAATATTTCGAAAAAAATCATATGCAATTTTAAGTATGATTGTATTATAATTGGAAAGTGAAGCTAACATTTCCGTCTGCTTTTTTCTCATATTTAAGTAGAAGTGGGTGTATGCAACTAGTAAGTCAAAATACAATAAATACCTCAATCATTCTTTATAGTTCAGAAATCAGCAAGGTGGAATTTTAAAACAGAGTGTCTATCAGTAGTCTTTGTTTTTAACATATAATTGGTCTTAATTATTATCTTAAGGATTTAAATATTTTCAACCTCTAAAATTTTTCCCTCTGAGCCAACATAAAAATGTTTTTGGAAAGTTATAAATTGAGTTCTACCTGTTAACTTGAGAGTGTTACTGATCCAAAAATGCTTTTCTTATGATTAAAAGAAAAACAAAAACCAAGGTAGATTATGGAGAAATCCCCAAATGTTGGCTGCCTTCTGAGACTCAAAGCAAATAACACAAAGACATCAGAATTAAGGAGCTGCACTTTCCCTTCCCATTAGTTCTGTTTAACCCACCCCAGAAGCATTTGTCATTTCATCTTGGTTGTTGAAAAGCGAAACATGTCTACAGAGAAGGTAATAGCATCTACCCTTCCTTCCTCTGAAAAGGAAAATGCTGGTTAGACTAGATAGAGCTCCTTATCAATTTCACAAACATTTACTGGAACCACCACCTCTTCAAATCTCCAGCTCTAGATGCTTAAACCAGTGAGTGGATAACTAATGGTTTTGACTAGGTTGCCCGACTTGCTTTCCCTGAGCTGAGCTCTCCCAACACATCCTCTTACAAAAATTAGCATGTTAATTAAGCCTTCGTGGCAAGTAATTGCATGTTAAGGTTTTTTTTTTTTTTAAAGATCTTTTGATTCCTTATATGAATGTAAAATAAAGGTTACTACAGTGCCATTCTTTTTTTTAATGGTACAGAATTAATTTCTTTAGTAGGAAAATAAAAACTCTATAGGCAAAGAACAAAAAGGCAAAAATAATTCCCTTACATATGTTATCACTTTTGTTTTCTATGTATCATACGAAAATTAACACTTAATTTCAAGATCAGCAGCAGTCTTGTGCAGGATATAATTTTACGTCTCAACGGACTCTAGTGTAGGCACATACTATTGATCTAAAAGTAGCATTCCAGCTAGTCCCAGGTATGAACAGTTCTACAACTTTTCTGTTAATTTCCGACAGTGGACTGAAATGGGGCTGATATTATGCTAAACTGTGCCCAGAATGTAATGTTTATATTTTCAGGTGGGCACTTTTGAAATAAGATGTTTCAGATACAACAGCCCATGGAAGATTTAGGCCAAAGGCCGAGCCTGTCATTTACCCCCCAGCTGCTCTTAGTGCCCACGTAATGATGTCACTCGTTTCAAATTTAAGCGCACACGGATTCGACATTTGAACAGTCGCTGTGCGGAGGAGTTTGGACCTGGAACACACCACCTTCTACGATGCACATCAACTTGACTCATTTTGTTACTAATGCGATTATAAAGAAATCCCTTTTATGGATAAATTATTGAAGGAAAAGTCTTATAAACAAATACATAAGCAAGCATTAAAGTAGTTAATTATCCAAAAACCCCGAAAAAAACAAAAAACGAAAAAACAAAAAACCAGAGCCACTTACAGGGCTTGATGGAGTCTTTGGCCAGCCTGGGCTGCTAATGCTATCGCTCTCATCTCCATGAAATGAGGAGATGCTAGCAGAGCTGGGGGACATTGGGGAAGGGACTGGCAGGTTGCCGGGGGTTGGGGGCTGAGAAATACCCTGAGAGCTGTAGCTATCCTGTGGTAGAGGAATAAAAAAAAAAAAAATGACAAAGGTAGGGCAAACTTTATTTAAAACAACAAAAAGCACATCCAGTGTAACAGACGCACTTATATGTACACAGAGACTTGTACAAACACACACGCAACGCACACAAACAACATTCTTAGTCAGCATAGCGCGGCAAGTGTGCTGGGCGCGGGCAAGGCCACGAGGCCGCCATGCTTACGTCAAGCTTAGGGGCGCGCTGAGCACGGCCACCCCTCACGGAAGGAGGAAACGCAAAAAAGAGCTGTTCACCTTATTTATCAAATAAGGCAGGAAAGCAAAATATTAAGCATGTTGTTGCTGCTGAGGCGGCCAAAACAGGAAGCTATGAACTGAAGGCAGAGAAAATGCTGCAGGAACGGAGCCCAGGCGGCCCGGCGGCTCCCCACCCAGCTGTGCTCGGCTCGCCCGCCCCCTCCCCACCAGGACAAACGCAGAAGAGCCAGGACCCCGACGGCGGGCGCTGTGCGAGAGGCCGGCATGCAGAGCGGGGCCCGCGGCCCGGGGAGAAGTACCTTCGCCTTGCTCTCGGGCGGCGCGCCTTCTTCCTTGCCGTCTGCTTTCAGAGGCAGGGGCAGCTTGGGTTCACCAGGAGACATCATATCTGCAAGACCCACAGATGCTAATCGAAAACAGGAGAGAGAGTTTAGGATTATACAGGTGACCGCAGGGTGAGCTCCTGCTAGCACATTACTGAGCGCCGCGGGCCGAGTTTCCCTCGAAGGAAGGAGAAGGCAGCCGTAGCGCAGGGCACACTGGTTCTGAAGTCTAAACAGCGGGACTGTCTGGGACCCTTTATTTCAAACACACCGTCACTTCCTCAACTCACAGCAATACCACCTAACAGAGCAGGTGCCGCGTGGACACAGCCCGTCTCGAACGCGCCCGCGGGCGCTGAAAGCAAGCGCTGGTTGTGTGTACTTTTCACCCGGTGACTAGAGGACTGAGTACCTTCCTAATTTCTAAATTCATATAATCTATAGGTTGCAAAATCCTTTGACATTTTATACTGTGTCATTCGAAAACCGCATCTACTGCATGTGGCCTAGTCTACGACAATGGAGGACAATGGTAGCAGATGGCTTCAAAGGCAATGACCACAGTAAGCTCCGAAGAATTTCTAATTATTCCGAAACGGGGCTGGTTTCCTTCCGGCCTGGTGCGCTGCGTACACTTGGCAGTGCCCGGCAGAGCCCAGGTGCCCGGGGCGGACACCCACACCAGCTCAAGGGGCAGCCCGGCAATCCCGGCGAAGCTCATTCTCTCTCTAGGCTCAGGAATTCAATCGAGTTCATCTACGCTTTAGAATGAAAGGGTCACCAGAGAACAACTGATTTACACACATTTATTGCAAATAAGATGGCATTTTCAAGTGAAAAATAGTGGTTTGGATTTATTTTTAAAGGAAGAGCAAGGCCAAAGTAGGGAATGAGTGTAGCTATCCGGGGAGTAACAGCTGAATTCCTGCAGAAGGCACTGCGAAGACCGCGGGCACAGCACCGGCCGCGGGTCAGGGAAGGGGTGGAGGTGGAAACGGAGGTGGGGCAGAACAGCGAGCGAAGACCAGGAGAACTGTTTCAAAGTGAGCTGCACCCGAGGTCTTACGGAGGGCCCCCCTCACCGCCTGCGAGCGGGAGAGCCGGCCCAGCAGGCAGCGCACGCAGGGCACCGCTGCCAAAGCCCACAAAGAGAGAGGAAGCTTCCAAAAAGGCCCCGCAGATTGCCCACTACAAAACGATTACTGCACATATTCGTGTATTACTATGTTTTAGAAAATAATTAGTTTTAATTACAGCAGTGAGAGAGTGAGCAGGGCTCTGGTGAATTAGCTGGCAAGCTCTGTGGTGCTAATTTGCTAATATCGTTAGCATCACTGCAGGTTGGGACCAGAGGTCCTGCCAAAAAAGCCTACCCTGCCACGTGTCCACGAGCTTCCACGGCACACTCAATGGTGCACGCTAATGCCTGCTTTCCAGTGGATTGTTTTTCAAAGCCCATTTGCAGCCCAGTCAGCCCTTGAAGTCATCACCACACACACAAATCATAATTGGGATGTTTTTCTTTTTTTTTCAAATTACTTTCAATACTTAGACTTTAAGAACTGGAACAAAAAGCTTTTTCAAGTGATGCAGCTGCAGAGAGAAATCTATTGGGATCAGCTAAAAATGCTGTTATTTTTGTGAATGTGTGAAACCTCAAAAAAGCAGCTGAGAGATATTACATGAAGAAGTCTGCCTTGTTGCTTTCGGGTGGTTTTATCCCTGCGGTTGAGCAAGATATGAATTGGTAAATCTGTACATTAAGGAAGACCGTTTTTAGAGAAATAGGAGAGAGAAAAAAGCAGGACAAGCATGGAAAGAGGGGCTTATTTATGAAAGTCCATGTGTCCTTACTAGTCATTCACGGAATGGGTTCAAAGGAGCGACAGCCATGCAATTCCAGAGAAAGTGGCAAAGTCTTGGAAACGCGGCTTCTGTCAAGTTTTGCTTCTCCAATGGTTACAACAAATAGTTTTTTCAGCATTTATAATACATTATGCTAAATATTATTTTTAAAATAAAAAAAATAGTAATAACCTTCATTGTGCTTTAAATGTGTTAATGTACACAAAGAAATTTTGAAACTTAAGGAACCAGGCCAATATGTATTATGATAATTAGTGATAATAATTTACACTGACTTGAAAATCAGACTTAGACGAATGTAAGCATATATATTGATTTGAAATTCTCCAAACTCCTTCATTTAAAATGCATAAAATATTATATATTTTAAAATGGGCATTTGGGTTACACAAATATAAAAACTGTCAAAAACTGCACTGTTTTATTATTTTGAGAGACAAGAACTTAATACGAGTAGAAGTTTTATTTAGTACTCCTGCCTTACAATGTAAATTTTATCCTACCAAAGGGATCATAAGGTCTTTCTTTCCTGTGGCTTTCACCATTCTTTTGTTGAAATACTTATTTTTGACTTCTTAGCAGAATTCTCAGCGAAGCCTGCAAAGAGCCCCATCCTCCCAGGGCAACGGCACTCCAGGGGCACCACTCTCTTCTCCCTTCCCAGAAGAGAAGGGCCACGTCACTACAGGGCTGTGTTAAATCAGGCCCCGCTCCTTCCCCCACAGGCAGCAGAGCCCAGGAGGTAAAGCTCCGACGTGAAAGGGGCAGCCGAGGACCTGCGGGAGCGACTGTGCGGGGGTCAGTAAATATACCAAGCTCGCCTCTGGCTTCACCATCGAAATTTAAGAGCCAGAATGACTCTTAAAGTAAGTGCAGGTCAAGGTCCTAAGGCAGCTATTTCACCCTGGATTTAATATATTAAAAAAAACATAAAGGACATATGGGGAGAGTAAAAGTGAACCTGAACATTCATTCCTACTCTCCCAACTTCCTTTCTCAGTCTCCTAACAAGGCTGCAAATCATTCCCAGAGGACAGTAAAATAGGACCAGAAACGTACAAACTGTTCCCTTCTTTTCATGGTAAATAATATACCATACTAAGCAAAATGTTTTACTCCTTGCTTTAGAAAACACAAAAGGACCTATCTATGTGCATACATCTGTAGATATTCATGACTATTTTTATTGTGGCAAATATATAAAAAAACTGTTAACACATACAAAGCGTGTGAGAAAAGCTCAGGAGAAACACTACTGTCTGGATCAGCACAGCCTTGGAGGAATCCCCAAAACCTCCCTACGCTGCCCTGCCTCCATGGGGTTGCGCAAGTGAGATGCAGGCCCCGTCATGTCCACCGCAGCCCTCCCCACCCCAGCCTGCCCACAGAAACATCAACTGGAGCAAAACCAGCTCACAAGGCATCACTGCTCCAAGGAAAGCAACTCATCTCCCCTGTGAGCCGGATCCATACTCCCAAGAAAGGCCCCAGCCGCACACAAAGTCCAGAGTGATCAATGTACTGGGTATAACTTAGTGTGCATTTTTACCGTTTAAGAGATACGGTTCTCACAATTTATCAAGTCTTTTATGTTTTTTTGGGGGGGGACAGCAATTCACCTAAAATCATAATTTAAAGCAAGCAAACAAAAATCCCAACAATCTCTATAAACTACCCAGACAGCCACTAGCTACAGTGATAAAGACCTGAAACTAAGGATTCTAAAACCTCAAGATAGAAAATAGCTGTCCATCTGGTAGATTTATATTCTAGGCATAGTTTTGTAAATCTTTTTTTTTTAAGTTTCAGAACAGCAAATTATCTGGTAAATGGCTAATGTCACACAAAGCTGCCAGGAGATTGTTAGGCAAAATACCTCTAAGTAAAGCTTTAGTGTGCACATAGGAAAATAACCCGAGGAATCTGTTAATAATGCAGGCTCCCAGGTGCCCCACAGAGGGGCGGGTGGGAATCTGCAGGTTTTTAAAATATTTTTAAATATGTCTTTATTGATTTCAGAGAAAGGAAGGGAGAAGGGGAGAGAGAAAGAGAAACATCAATGAGTCATTGACCGGCTGCCTCCTGCACGCCCCCTGCTGGGGATGGAGCCCGGAACCCGGGCATGTGCCCAGATCGGGAATCGAACCTCCATCTCCTGGATCCTAGGTCGATGCTCAACCGCTGAGCCACGCCCGCTGGGCGGGAATGTGCAGTTTTAATAAGCATTTTGGGGGAATCTGAGCGGAGGGTCTCAGTTTCTGAGAACACGGGAGGAGGTGTGGACACTGTGGTCGTGTAACTGCCTTTTTCCTTCATCAGGGCTGATGGAGCTGGTGCGCCCAGTACTGGGCGGGCACAGAGAGGGCACTGGGCGCTGAGCACAAAGAGCCACCACTGGAGGCTGACAGGGCCGGGGTGGGGCGCGGGGAGGCCTGGCTCATGACACGCGCTGCTTGCTCCCTGGCTGCAGGCTATTCTGCCGCGAGCGCCCTGGACACTGGAGGCAGGCTCCTGGCGAGGTACACGCACAACTAGGGGCGGCAGGTTCAGGTCCTGGAATTTAGCTGTCTTCTTTAAGACGATGGCTTATACATAGACTAATGAGTATTGTAAGGCTAAAGAATATTATAAAATGAAACAAGTACCATGTTACTAACACCACAAGTATTATACAAGTGTGTATTTAACAAGGTTATATGTGACTTATAGTTTTGTCCCTAGTAATACATACTTCTAATCTTTTAATCCAAATACTTTTTTTTTTAAAAAAAAAGCTCCTTTAGAAGAAAATTCCCCACTGCTTCCATCCCACTTCCCAGCACTTTAAGTGAAGAAACAGTTGTCATGTTCATACTCACACTGACTCCATTTAAATAATTACTTGCGCATGAGCCTGGAACAATTTGTCACTACCCAGGGGGCTTCCCTTGGCCCTGGCACCGTCTGCAGCACAACTGTGTGGCCTCGGCAGCGAGGGTGCTGAGCACCAGTGGCACCAGCTGCTAAGTGAGGTTCCGAAAGCTCCGCTGCCAGCCTGGCCGCTATCCCCACTTTCCCCAAAGTGCCCTCTGATGGAGAAAACGCCTTGCTGTCATCACCGGGAACCTCTCCACAGGCCCAGGCCCATAGATGGACGTGGGGAGCCCGGCCACGTCTGGCCCGGCTCTAGAGAAGCCGAGCGAGCGCCTGAGGCCAGACGCTGCGCTTGCGGGCGCGCACTGCCCGCCAGGCTGCCGCCTC